GCCACGGCTTGGAGGAGCTCCGGAAGGCGGGAGTGTGCTGGCCCAGTGCTCCTTCCCCAGCGGCAGTGAGCCATCGCACGCCAGGTCGGTGCGCTGCTCCGCCGACAGCACCTTGCCTCCCTCCTCCGGGGTCGCCATCCCTGGGGCTGTTAGAGGGATGAGGTCTTCATCGTCCGACTTCCTGGTACATAGTCTGCGTCGCGTAGCCATGACCTAAGATTTCTAACTTTACTCGAGAATGTTTGGCCACTTCCGACACTAGTAGTAGTGTAAAGTCAAATAGATAGAAAATTTAAATAAAATACAAATAATAAAATCTAATTTAAAATTAACAATAAAAATAATAAATTGAAAATAATAAAAGCAAAAAACCCACGACATTATCCCTACAGGATAGGGTTTGAGAGTGCCGGCCATGGGAATGGGGTGACCAAGGGCCATGGCACTCTGGTTGACCCCGAAGGACACGTGACCGGTAAATTCTACACAGGGCCCCCAGGTGGGGTCTAGGGGTGGTCACGTGTCAGGGTCGAGAACCTGCTAGAGGATTCTAGAAGGTGGTTGTAGCTAAGGGCGGAGCCAGCCATGCCGCAGAGGATATAAGCCGGGTCCCCGAGCGGGACCAGCTGCAGTTGTTCATCCTGAAGAATCTACGTCCTACGTTCTACATCCTACAAGAGTCACCAACACGTAAACCTGGTCCAGGGTCCGGTCCATCGTAGCTAATTCCAGTGTAATTAGTGTAGTTAGCCTGGTGGTCCACCACCATAGGTTGGTAATGTGTTAAATGTGTTGCCTCCAAGAAGTGTAAAGTCACATAGATAGAAAATAAAAATAAGTAATAAAATAAAATTTACAAATAAAAATAATAAATTGAAAGTTTCTATCGCAACACAAGCTGTCTTCATCAGGCGGTGAGAAAAGAGGGGGCAAGCCTCAAAATGCAACTGCTTATAAGGGTTTCCAAAGTGAGTGGGTGGGGGACGAGAGCTTGGAGGAGGAAAGCTGCGCGGCGCAAACAGCACGGGTGGGGAAGCCAGTCAGCCAATAGCAATGTAGGAGTAGACAATGGGGGGAGGAAAGGGGGTAGAGATAGGGGGAGAGAGGGGGTAGAGATGGAGGGGGGGGCGTATTGCACCTCGCTACACACATCCACACTGCTGACGGTAGAGGTTGACAAGAAAACACAAATCAAGTCATCACCCAAAGTGGTTGATGACATCTTTCCAATGATTGCTGAGTTTAAAACAGTCGTCTCGGTTGAAATTGTGTCTGTGTCTGTATATATGGATGGCTTCATGAACGAATCTTTGTTGATAGCCAGTCGGCTTGCAAAGTACCATCGTCTTAGAGAAATCCATTTCATGTGAGCCAGCCGCATTAAAGTAATGATCAGACACGGTAGAAGTTTTGGTCCTGCCATGTTTCAGATCTGCCTTATGTTCACGAACACGGTCCGAGACATGTCGTTTAGTATCCCCAATGTAACTGCTGCCGCAGATACAGCTTAGTTTGTAGACGCCGGGATAGTGCATGTCAGGAATCTTGTCCTTCACAGCTGGGATTAGATCACGATTTTCATGCACTATGTTAAATCGGACCTGGATCTTGTGTTTGTTCAAGATTTTGGAAATCTTTTTGGTTATCCCTGCTATGTAAAGCAAGGTGATTGTTTTGATTGAATCTTCAGATGGCTCCTTCCTCACGGTTGGGGTGATGGCCTTGCAGATTGTGTAGTCAGAATATCCATTCACCTTGAGAGCCTGGTGTACGTGTAGTGACATTGCGGATGTCAATGTGCGGTGCCGGCCCTAGCGAGGCACGGCGTGCGATGTACTCACATCATGTGTGTAGCGACATCGTGAATGTCACCGTGTAATGTCGGCTCTAGCGAGGCATGGCGCGCGATGCATTGTCATCGCGGACACCCCATAGGTGGGTGTAGTACCAGCTCGAGGGGGCTCGGTGAGCGCTGGGATAGCGCTCAGTGGCACCACGCGTGGCGTGCAGTGCTGACCCCTACAGGAGGGAGTGTGAGGGTGTCAGCCATGGGATGAGGTTACCCTAGCCCATGGTACTCTGGTTGACCCTGGAAGGCACGTGACCAGTAAGATCTACACAAGGGCCCCAGGCGTGGGCCAGGGGGTGGTCACGTGTCAGGGTGCGATCCTACGGGAAGGGTCGAGAAACGACGAGAGGTTTCTCGAAGGTGGTCGTGGCCAAGGGTGGGGCCAGCCACGACCCGGGAGCAGATCAACCGGGTCCACACAGGGACCGGGGCTCAGCGTTGCTGATCTACGATCTATGATCTACGTCCAAGAAGAAGTCACCAACACGTGGATGAGGACCCAAGCCAGGGTCCTGTCCGTTGTAGCTACTCCCAGTGACTAGCGTAGTTAGCCTGGTGGTCCACCACCATAGGTTATCTGGTAAAGGGGCAGTAACCCCGTTGTGTTAATGTGTTGGTGTAAGTAAATATGTGTTGCCTCCAAGAAGTGCGTCTGCAACTCAGTTGAATCCACTACATACGTGTTTGAGTTCACTGGTCAGGTGTTCATGGTCGGAGATACATTGAGCTCTATGGTGTAGCGTTTTGATGAGGGAATTCTTCTGGGATGGATGGTGGTGGGAATCAGGTTTTATGTAGGCGTCAATATGGGTTCCTGTAGACAGAGTGGCTCAATGATCCATCTGGTCTCTTTTTGATTAACACATCCAAGAAAGGTAGCATGCCATCCGTTTCCACCTCCATGGTGAATTTGATTGCTGGGTGTATGGAATTAATGTGATTGAGGAATTGTTTCAGAGCCGGTCGGTCATGTGGCCAGATGACAAACGTGTCATCCACGTATCTCTTTCACTTTGTAGCTCTTAAGGGTTTGGGACACATCGCTGCATACGTGACAAGATCTTAAATCGCTGCAACCCTCAAAAGCGTTAAGATACTGGTTTCGACATTCAGTGTCTCATTAGGAGTCGGGCTTGGCTTGCTTGAACCAATAAACCAAACTATTCTACCAGGTAAGGCCCACTGAGCGATCCAGCTCTTTTCAGAAGCGAACTGGCCACAAAGGATAGCTGAACGGAGTGGCGTATCACGTGGAAATGTATGACAGTATGCCAAATACTCTAAACGCGTGATGTTGATTGTAAATGTGGAGGGGAAAACAGGAGAACTCGGAGTAAAAACCCACGCGACCAAGGGGAGAGAGACACACAGACTCACCTTGAATCTCACTCACTCATTCACTCACCTTATATATTCTTCACGCACTCACCCACTCATTTCCCCACTCACTTATTGACTCCTGGGGAGAGAGACACGCAAACTCCAAATATACAGCAGCAAGCGTCAGGGTCGGTATCGAACCCGTGACCTCCTGCATACCAGACGAGGCAGTTAACATCTGCTAGCCACCGTGACACCGCCAGCTGTCCATAGGCAAGGACTGGTTTCGACATTCGGTGGCTCATCAGCAGATTGCGCGCAACTCGAGTTCATGAAAAGTCGACGGCAGGAAGGCCCCGAGCAAGGACCCCCCCCCGCCCCGAGGAAGAACCCAAGGGTCGGATAAGTTCGGACCGGATGTTTTTCATTTCCGCTCATTCATGATCAGAACAAAGGGGGACATCACGTGGTGCGTAAACACCGGGGTGGGGTGGAGGTTTGAGGGGACATGAGGTCAGCACAACCCCCCCCCCACCCCCTCACCCCCCGCTGCCCCCCACGATCATAAAGTCCATAACAAAAACCTCAACACGTTTAGCCGCGTCAATAACACGGCGTGTGTGTGGCCGTGTGTGGCCTTAAAAGCAAATGTTTCTCGTAGACGACGTTTCGGGCTACGGCCCCTCTTCCCAGCGCGTACACGGAGAAGCCAGTAGTGAGACAGAGTGGGTGGACATTACACGGTGGAGACTGCACCGCGCACAACCTTTACAATGAGAGTCCTATTCGGCACCTCCACCCGCCTCATCCACTCCATCTCTCTCCTGGCCTCTCCCTGTCCACGTGATATGAATAAGCCCCCCCCACCCCCCACACACAGAAGGAGCGTCTTGTAATGTACGCTGATTGTGCGCCACGGTGACGAGATGTGAACTACCTCGCCTGGTATACATGAGGTCGTGGGTTCGATTCCTAACGATGCAGCTGTTTGTTGGAGTTTGCGTGTCTCTCTCTCTCTGTGGCCGCGTGGATTTTTTTACGATTCCTCCGGGTTTTCCCTCCACAATGTAGAATCAACATCACGCGTTTAGAGTACCCACGTGGCAAGCCACTTCGTTGAGCTATCATTTGTGATTGCCAGGCCGTTTCTGAAAAAGAACTGTGTAGCTCAGTGAGGCCTTACCTGGTGAAATAAAATAAATAGTTTAGTTCGTAGTGTAGTTTAAGCACCGCTGCTCACGCAGCAGCAATCACGAGATATAATTTGTGTAATGAAATCAATAAATGTTCCAGAGAAAAAGGTGCTATTCTGTTCCAGAATGATGCCGTGCTATGATCTTCACATCCTTCAACCTCATCGGAGTTTGAATCAAATATAAGGATAGCGTGCATTGTATATACGGCCAGTCCTCGCTCAACGCGTGTTCACACAACGCTGAACTCGCTCGTCATAGCGCGGAACACGCCCGTTATAGCGCTAGTCACGCGCGTTACAACGCGGTTTCTGAGAATACATATAGACCTGTGCATATATTTATATACACGCATGTATATACGTGCATACAGGTCTAGTCTTGAACATCGTCTGCACAGCAACAACTCCGGCGATTATTTTGTGTTGTGTTGCAAGAAAGTTAAGTAACAACATGTTCCGAACGCAACCATCCCCCCCCACCTCGACACCCCCACCTCCCACCTCGCCCTAAGTTCTCACCCGGGCCTCGTGTTTCCTGTTATTGGCTCTCGGTTGGTTTTGGGATAAAAGTGGCCGTTGCTTGCAGAGTCTCGGATCTCAGGGACCCAGGTCCCGCTAGCGGCTCTCTCGTTGGAGACTCGGGGAAGAGCGCGCTCCAGCAGACGAGAGGGGGGGGGGGGGTTCTGCCGCGGGGTTCTGCCGCGGGGTTCGCGTCGGGGGTATCGGCGGCGGCGAGGGGGGACCCCCAGGGGACCCCAGCGACACGTGCGAAATGTGGGCTCGAACTCTCACTCTGGTCACGGCGGTGGCCGCGGCGGTGGTGGCGGTGACAGGCGAAACGCAGGTACACACACACGCACGTGTACACACACATATACACGTGTACACACACACATGTACACACACGCACACGTACACACACGCACACGTGTACACACACACGTGTACACACACACGTGTACACACACACACACGTGTACACACACACACGTGTACACACACACACACACGTGTACACACACACACGTGTACACACACACACACGTATACAGATACACGTGTACACACACACGTGTACACACACACAGTGTACACACACGTGTACACACACGTGTACACACACAGTGTACACATACGTGTACACACATACACACTTGTACACACACACACGTGTAAACACACACACGTGTACACACACACACGTGTATACAGATACACGTGTACACACACACGTGTACACACACACACGTACACACACACACGTACACACACACACGTGTATACACACGTGTACACACACACGTGTACACACACACAGTGTACACACACGTGTACACACACGTGTACACACACGTGTACACACACAGTGTACACACACGTGTACACACATACACACTTGTACACACATACACACTTGTACACACACACACACGTGTACACACACACACGTGTACACACGCACGTGTGCACACACACGCGTACACACACGCACGTGTACACACACACACACGCACGTGTACACACACACACGCGTACACACACATACACACATGTACACACACGTGTACACACACATACACACGTACACACATGCACACACATACACGTGTGTGTGTGTGGACATGTGTACGTACACACGCATGTGTGCGTGTGTGTATGTATACACAAACACGCATACACAAACATACACATCCAAAGACAAATATCCCCCGTATAGCCTGACCAGACTGTTGGGGCAAGTGCTGTTAGCGAGCAGCAGCAGTTCTGAAGGCCGGCACGGCACAGGAGGGGGTGGGTGGGCAGCAACAACGCCGGACCGCCTTTGTCTCCCCAGTGGCGATGACTTTACACACCGCCCCAGGTACCAATTTGAGGCTGAGTCGACGTAGGGAAGACCAGTGGCGTTGCTCGGGGAGTGCGGACATCACCGAGTGGCACCATCAGAGGGGGGGGGGGGTCACATCCAAATTATTGTCTAAACACAGCTTTTTGTGCAGTTTCAGCAGCAATTTTTTTACATATATAAAAAATTATCCCGGCAGTTAGTTACAACAAAAACATTTTTCGTAAGCCCAGCTTACATGTACTACTGTATCAATATACCTACGAGGCTAAAACTCTATGCCAATTTACTTGTTAAACCTTCTAATGCGCTCCTGTCAAAGCCGCCATTGTTACCCAACGACAGTGACGCTTCGAGTCACGTGGTGGTTTCGTCTGCACGCGCCACAAGCGGGCGCTGTTGTGTTCGTCACTGCTCGTGTTTCTAAAGTCGCTGATTTAGTCAAACTTGCTGGTGTTTTGGCGACAATAGTGGTAATTAGTATTTGTGAACCTATATCAATAAAAATAGGGGTATTCTCAGATTTCTCACTTTTTTCTGGCAACAAAACTGAAACCTTTTTACGAGTCATCGTGTGCGCATTAACCACAATACTTGTGGTCAAAATACAAACGAAAAATGCACTGATAATATATGCATTGAACAATGGGGAAAACCCCTGATTACAGTATTATATTTTGGTACTGGCAAAGGAGGTCTAATGATCTATATCAATAGCTTTTTTGAGAATGAAGTGATTAAAGTAAATATTGTAATTTAAAGGTGTCATTTTAATTTTGCTAGTTGTTCATGTAACTACTATTGGCCATTGCATTCAGTGATATACGGGAATTATGATTTACGAGTTACATTAGTACAAAAAACATTAACACATTCCTGCGGAGGGAGCTGGTAGGAACGTTGGGTTGCTCGGTCAATGGCCAGGGTCAACGGCGGCGTGGTGTATTCCGCAAATATGGCCGACTGTGAGGGCGGGCACAAGCCGGCGTGAGTAGGTTAAACGTTGAGTTTTATAAAGGCACCACGGGGTGACCAGCCCCTCCCAACCCAGCCCCACCCCTCCCATTTTTGGATTCACGACGGACGGATGAACACAATAATCCCCTGTGGGCTGTTGTAACCAGGAGGTTCCTACCAGTACTAAAGATTCTGTATGATCTGGTACGGGTGGAGGTCCATGGGGGGTGACACCAACCCACGTGACGCCACTGGAGGAGACCCAAAACCGGTTCAGGATAATCGTCACTGATGTTGGCCGTGAGCGGGAATCGAACCCGGTTTGTCAGGTTCGCAGCGCAGCGCGCTAACCGCTGCATTACCGCTCCCCACTCACGTGTACACACACACACGCGTGTACACACACTCACGTGTACACACACGCGTGTACACACACTCACGTGTACACACACACACACATTCGTGTACACACTCACGTGTACACACACAGGTACACACACACTCGCGTGTACACACACACACGCACGTGTACACACACACTCGTGTACACACACACACTCGTGTACACACACACGTGTAGCCTTAACAGACTTTTGGGGAAAGTGCTGTTCGCGAGCACCTATGAAGTTCACACATACGAACACACACACATTCTCGCACACGCGAACTCTCTCACACACACATAGACCAAAGACTGGGATTAGTCGGAACTTTAAACGTACACAAGGGAACGTACACCTCCACGATTCCGTACACGTGTACACATATTGCTGGTGCTGCTGCTGCTGATGATGTTGCTGATGACGCTGTTGGTGGAGCTCTTTCAACGCCAGTCGGCTGTTCCGATACTCCCCAGCATTGTGATGGTCACGGCAGTGTTGCTGATAATGGAGACGCTGTGGTTATTGCTGATGGGGAGCAGTGGTGTCGCGGTTAGCGCTGCGCCGCGCTCCGCAGCCATGGACCCGAGTTCGACTCCCGCTCACGCCCAACACCGGGGACGATTATCTGAATCGGTCCTGAGCCTCCCCTAGGTCGACTCAGCCTCAAATGAGTAACTGGTGCAGCAAGGCCGTAGCCATGTAGTCAACATTGGGGGGGGACCAAATCTTCCAGAGGGTCTGGGGGTCCCAACCCAGAAAAAAAATCTACATTTGCCATTTTCTGCCTAAATATTAAAAAAAGTCACTAACACATGGGATGGACTTTTTATTTATTTATTACAACAATGTCGAATAGTGTATTGTATTACATTGCTCTGTTTTAACTTTTTTTTACCATTTCTTGTTTCATTGTATGTAATGGCCCAGATATTGTGGCCAAGGTTAAGCAAAGTGTTGTTTTTATTTACATAGCATAGCAATTTTTTTATAGCATAATATTGGGGGGGGGGGGGGCATTTTAAGCATATTTGTGTCCCCCCCAATATAAATAATAATTACGGCCTTGTGGTGCGCTGTGTAAAATCGTCGCCACTCGGGAGACAAAGGCGGTCGGGCGTGGTGTTGGCCACCCACCCCCTCGTGTGCCGCAGTGCCGGCCTTCATAGGTGCTCGCTAACAGCACGTGCACCAACAGTCTGTTAGAGACAACACGGGAGGTGGGGGAGGGGTCTTTGTATTTGTTGCTGCTGCTACTCACCACCATCATCACTATCCGGCAGGTGGAGTGTGCGGGCGGGGCACGAGACTCGCTGCACAACTACTCGGCGTGGACTCTGAACGAGTCTCGCCTGGTCCCGCTCAGCGAGTTCAGAGGTCAAGTGCTGCTCGTGGTCAACGTGGCGACCTTCTGAGGGCTCACGACCCAATACTGGGGTAGGGACAGCTGCCGCTGGGGGAGGGGGTCCCCTAGGCTAAACTAAATCACTCAACGTGGTGGCCTTCAATGGCGATGTTCTTCACTAATTTTGAGAGGGAGTGGGTCGCCACTTTCGCCGATAAGACATCGTCAGTGTGAGCGAGGGTTGCCGCAACATTTGAAACCTTGTGGGGGTTGTGACATCAGCACGATGATGATGATGGGGGGGGGGGGGTCTTGGCTGTTTGTCTGGTGGGGGCCGCGAGTCGTCAGGGGCCGCACTAAAGGCCACCAGGGGCCCCGCCAGTGGCTAAAATAAATAAATAAGTGCATCTACCTTGTGACCTTCTGAGGGAGGGCTCGCAACCAAATAATGGGGTAGGGGCAGCTGCCACTGGAAGGGTCCCCGAGGACAAATGATAACACTGTGTAACACATTTTTATTTATTTTGTTCCTGGGCCAGTAGTGGATAGTTTTGCACAGAACTTCAACATTATCAAAATCAATTGAGTGTCCTTGTTGGCACGCGTGTGCAGCTACTGCTGACAGTTGTATTTGGGAGAGCGTAATATTTCTCTGATGTTTTTTTAGTCTTGTGCTGATCATTCGTCCATCACCCCCCTCCACGCCCCCACCAGACCTGAATGCACTACATTCCCATCTCCCGGAGTTCCAGGTGCTCGCTTTCCCGTCTAACCAGTTCGGGAAGCAGGAGCCTGGCTCCAAGGAGGAGATTCTTCCCGGACTCAAGTAGGTGGCCATTGTGGATCTGTCTCTCTCTCTCTCGCTCGTCCTCTCTCTGTGTCTCTCTCTGGCTCAGTCTCTCGTTCGGTCTCTCTCTCTCCGCGTCTCTTGCTCTGTCCCTCTGGGGCCGCGGCGATATCACCACTCACGATTCAATATCAGATATCACGACGACCTGTGACGACTATCGCGACGATTATCGCATAACCAGGGGGTCGACAACCTGCGGGTCTGGAGCCGCATGCGGCGGCTCTTGAAGGGACTGCTTCGTGGCCGTTATGAATTAAGGACACCCACCACCGTCTAGTGTTCACCATAGTGCATTGCTGCGGCTCTTGCGATATTGAAGGGGGGGGGGGGGGGTTATCTTTATACGGAATTCGACAAAAAGTGCCTCTTCTTGTTATTGTTGGCTGCCCGCATCACCGAGTGATGCAACGGATAGCTCGAGGTAGGCGGTTCGAACTCGTCCGGCCGGCCGGCTACCCTGGTTAATACTGCGGAGCACGTTAACCCTGACTTTGATCATAAGGGCGCCACGGTGGATATGAGATGTTAACTACCTCGCCTGGTGTGCAGGAGGTCGTGGGTTCGATCCTGACCCTGACGATGCCCGCTGTATACGTTGGAGTTTGCGTGTTCAATCTCCCCGTAGTGGTCGCGTGGATTTTTCTGCCGGTACTACGGGTTTTCGCCTCCACATTTAGAATCAACAACGAGTGTTTCGAATATTTGGCTGCGAAAAATGTTCACGTGATAAGCCACTTCGTTGAGCTATCATTTGTGGCCAGGTCGTTTCTGAAAGAAAAAAAAGAGCTGTCTAGCTCAGCGGCCCTTACCTGGTAAGATACAAGACATGTGTTGTTTTCACAACAAATATTGTCCGCTTCACTCACGCAATGGATGGTTAAGATTCCCTGGCGTAAGTCGCAAGAGTTGCCACTGGTTTAACTTTGCCAAGATGAACACCGCAAATTATTCAATTGGGATGATGGGTTCAAACCCCTCTCTCCTCTACCTCGCCTCTCTCTTTCTACGACTTTCCTCCATCTCTCTCCCCCTCCCCATCTCCCCCCCCCATCTCTCTCCTATCTCCCCCACCTCATCCGTCTTCCCCCCCCCCCCCGCCCGCCCCGCCCCCCAGGCACGTGAGACCTGGGAAGGGTTTTGAACCAAACTTTCCGATCTTCAAGAAGGGAGACGTGAACGGGGCGGAGGAGCAGCCACTCTACACCTACCTCAAGGTGGGGGGCGGGGGGGTTGGGGGGCGGGGGGTAGGGGAACGTTGCCCCCCACCCACACCCCACCCCAGCGGGGGGCGGGGGGGGCCTCAGAGCAGGGGGTGTAGGGGGTAATGTGAGTGATGATGGTGATGGTAATGTGAGTGATGATGGTGGTGATGGTAATGTGAGTGATGATGGTAGTAGTAATGATGGTGATGGTAATGTAAGTGATGATAGTGGTAATGATGGTGGTGGAGATGGTAATGTGAGTGATGGTGGTGGTGATGGTGGTGGTGTTGATGCTCGTCCGAAAAAAACAACCCCCTACCTCCTCGTGGTGTCAGGCGGCAAAGCTGTGGTGGGCAGTGCCGTGGGGGGAGGGCCAAATTAGATTGGCCTTTCCCCTCATGGCGTTTGTAACCACCACGGTGGCCAAATGGGGGCTCTGGGCGGGTGCGAGGGGCTGGTAACCCCTCCACCTTCAATTAATTACCACTAAACCACGATTGAAAATTGTATTTAATAAGCTTGTGCCGGAGGCCCCGGGGGAACAGGCGTCTATGACGTCTCCTGGCCAAACACCATTTGGCGGAGCAAGAAGACTGAATCCTTACCCTCGGGGCTCCTCCAGAAACAAACAAAAAAACACTAGGTGAGGCCACATGGAATGTTCGAACGCTCACTGTGGAGGAGAGGCTGCTACTCCTCTGTCGGGAGCTGGACCGGTACTGCCTGGATCTCTTTGGTATTCAGGAGGTCCGGTGGACCGGCTCTGGTTCCTGCCACCATGAGGGGTGGACAGTCCTCTTCCCGGGGCAGTAGACTGCCAAACAACAGGGTGTGGCTCTTCTTCTGAACACAAGAATGAAGGGGGCATGGGAGAGTGGCGGTGAGGTGTGGGAAGCTGTAAGCCCCAGGCTACTTTGGGCTCGCCTTCCCATCAACCGGAGGCGATGAGTGGTGGTCGGGGTTACTTATGCCCCCACCGAAGACGAACATCCGTGGAGGGATGCGGGCAAGTCCGATGAGTCAGATGCCTTCTATGACCTCCTGTCACAGGTGCTAGCTAAAGTGGCCCCTCGGGATAGAGTCATCTTGTTGGGTGACTTCAATACCTGAGTTGGCCATGATGCTGGCACCGGGTCTGGAGTGATTGGAAGGCATGGGCCAGATCAGCTCAATAACAACGGCAGGAGGCTGCTAGATTTTTGTGCAGCCCATGGGCTTATCACTACCAACACGTTGTTCCCGCATTGGCGCATCCACACAACATCATGGATGCATGCCGTTGGACAAAGTGGGGATGACCCTGCCGAGGCTGCGGTGCCTCAAATATTGGAAGAAGTCACCCCCTGTGAGTGGCTGGCTGAGGTGCCATAGGTTGATGGCACCTCAGATGATCTGCCAAGCAAAATGTTGAGGGAGGTTGGTGTTTGAGCACAGACTGCCATACATGACATCATAACAACAGTCTGGACCACTAGACGTGCTCCGCAGGACTGGAAGGATGCCCTGGTTGTCCCCCTCTTTAAGAAGGGGGACCGCACAGACTGTAACAACTACAGGGGCATCTCACTCCCCAGTGTGCTGGGAAAGGTCTTGGCAAGGATGATTCAACATCGCCTTGCTAAGCACCCTGAGGAGAGGCTTGTGGAGCCCCAATGCGGTTTCAGCAAAGGGTGGTCCTGCACAGATGGCATATTTTCTGTCCGTCTGCTACAGTAGAGGTGTAGGGAATTCCAACAAGACCTACATCTCTGCTTTATTGACCTGGTCAAGGCCTATGATACCATCAGTAGGCCTGGGATCTGGGTTGTTCTTCGTGCTTTCGGAGTCCCTGACCCTCTGCTCACGATCATTAAGGACCTTCATGATGGTGAGCGGGCCTGGGTAAAACTATGTGGCTGAGAGTCGGAGGCATTCCCTGTACACCTTGGGATGAGACAGGGATGTCCTCTGGCTCCCACATCATTTAACATCCATGTCGTTCGTGAAACCTTCAATTGCTGTACCAGAGGAATTTCCATCTGGTACAGATACAATGGGAGGCTGATCGATGCCCGGGTGCGTTAAAGGGATGGCTCCCTATTGGTCAACCATGTTACGTATGCCGATGATCTGGTAATTGCTGATCACTCAGAGGAGGAGTTGGAGGTGCTGCTGCTGAGACTGGAGTGTGCCACTAAGAGGTGGGGCCTTACCATCAGCCCCACCAAAACTAAAGACCTGCCTGGGTATTTTATACCATCAGACACTCCACCCCCACATCTCCCAATTGGTGATGGGGCATTTGTGCAAAGAGTGGAGAGTTTTCCATACCTGGGCAGTGTGCTCATGACCGGCTCCGGTTTAACAACAGATTTCTCACTCCGAATCAGTCGAGCGGCATTATCTTTTCATCGGTTGCGTAACGCTGTGTGGAAGCTACTATCTGGTCTGTTGCTCCACACAAAGCTTCGGGTCGTCTTGGCTATGGTCATGCCCTCCCTTCTCTATGCTTGGGAAACGTGGACCCCCCTAATGGAGCATCGTCGCCGGTTAGAAATATTTAGGCTGACCTGCCTATGATCCATCCTGGGTTTAACCAGGCTGGATTTTGTGACGAGCTCACAAATCGTTGAAAGATCTGGACCAAATGCCATTGGTGAGCACCTCCGGCAGGCAAGGCTGCGTTGGCCGAGTCATGGAGCTGGCATGACTAAACAGCTTTTGTTCAACCGAATAGATGGGGCTAAATGGACGCGGCACGGGTTAGAAAAGAGATGAATTGATGTGGTACAAGAGGATGTGGAGCTGAGTGGACTTGCAGATGACTGGTACCAACGGTGCCAAGATTGGCCTCTGTGGAGGAGGCTCGTGAAGGATGCTTCTGGGCAGTTGGAGGCAGTCGCCCTCCAGCAAAAACAGAGGGCAGAGGAGCGATGCTCACAACAACGAGCGAAGCGCCGGGCGGCTAAAACACAGCAAGTTGGCACAGTAGGGGACACAGGTGGTGTATCGGCCACTCATCTCAGTCAGTCGACCCGTGGCACCTGGGTCTGCCCCGGGACCTCCTGCCGGCGGTTGTTCGACACTTCACGTGGCCTTAACGTGCACAGAGCCTGGCACAAGCGCCGTGGTGACGTCACCGCCACTTTGTGGCGAATGTCGGTTGTTGTTGTTGGTGATAATGATGGTGGTGATATTAGCGATGGTGATGATAACAATCACACACTCCCCATCCCCAACACTCCCTCCTCCGTCTCCTATCGCCTGCCCCCTCCACCCCAGACGTCGTGCCCTCCCGTGGGCGACTCGTTCGGCAACCCGCACGGGCGCCTCTTCTACGAGCCGCTGCGAGTCTCCGACGTGAAGTGGAACTTCGAGAAGTTCCTCGTGAGCGCCGCGGGACGCCCCGTGCGACGCTACGCGCCCCTCGCACCCATGTCGGCCGTGCGCAGGGACATCATCGCTTACCTCTCCTCCTCGTCGTCATCGTCCCGGTCCTCCATGCAGCAACATCATTATCAGCAGCAAGAGCAGGAGCAGGACACCCATCACCACCACCACAGCCACCACAGCCACCACAGCCACCAGGTCCCCCATCACCGCTAGGCACTCCGAGTGCCCACCACGTGAAGCAGTCATCTTCCTTCTGCTCCTCCCTCAACATTCACTCCCCCACCCCCCTCAGCTCACCCCCACCAGCTCACCCCCACGACCCCCTTAATCTCCCCACCCCCCCCCCCCCCCCTCATGACGACGACCACCACTACCGCCGTTCCTGTTCCCGCTTCAAATTCTCATTACATGGCTCTCGCTCGATCCCCATTCACCCAATCCATTCGTCACCAATTTCGCTTTTGTACCGAGTGCACGCACCACAGGTTCGCCCATTACAACGTCTTCTCGTCTATTGTATTCGCCCCATCCCCACCCACCGTTACATTCACACATTCTGCCGTTCTTAATTGGGCAAGGCGCTAGGAAAATTACGATGAGATTTTGACCCCCCACCACTGTCTGGCATTGACGACATGGCTCTACCATCCAATGGGAAGCCAGTCCCATTGATTCACACCTAGAGCCAGACCCATTCATTAATTCACTCCGGGTCCCATTCATTCACACCCAGAGCCAGACCCATTCATTAATTCACACCCAGTCCCATTATTGAGACCTAGGCTCATGCATTCAATCACCAGACCCCATCCTCTTCATTCATTCCCACCCAGTCCCATTCATTCTAAAGGCGTCGCATCGTTCCGGCCTCACATGGACCAGGTTCTCATCCAAACCAGCACCAGAGCCCCCCCCCCCCATTCACCAGCCCCGTCGGCCTCCCCAATTGGTCGCCTGCCGCCTCGCCAATCCACTCACAGCCAATCATCTCTGCTTCCACCACCCCCTCCTCCTTCACTCTCCCCCATATACACCCCCACCCCCCCAAGCCTGGACTTCTGACCCACGACCGCCCCCCCCCCCAGCTTCAAGAACACGAATCCATGCTAAACTGGACTCCCATGGTAAACTGAACTCCCGTGGTAAACTGAACTCCCATGGTAAACTTAACTCCCATAATAAGCTGGATTTCCATGGTAAAGTTGACTCCCATGGTAAACTGAACTCCATAATAAACTGAACTCCCATGGTAAACTGGACTCCCATAGTAAACTGGACTCCCATGGTAAACTGAACTCCCATAATAAACTGGATTTCCATGGTAAACTGAACTCCCATAATAAACTGGACTCCCATGGTAAACTGGATTTCCATAGTAAACTGAACTCCCATAATAAACTGGACTCCCATGGTAAACTGAACTCCCATAATAAACTGGACTCCCATGGTAAACTGTATTCCCATGGTAAACTGAACTCCCATGGTAAACTGGACTGCCCCTTAACGATCCCTGCTGCATGCGGCTCCATAGCCGCATGTTGCTGACCCCCCCCCCCCCCCCCCCAGCTGGATCGTGTTCGTGCGGCGAGACAATCACCCCCCTCACCCTGACAATTCCCCCTCTCCGGGGGGGGGGGGGGTGGGGGGGTGTAAGGGAGGGGCTCCCCCACTTTGCCGCCCCCTTCATGACGGCCCCCCCCCAACCACCGCGCCGTCGCGGTGTGGGGGGGGCACCGAGTTAGGGACCCCCCCCCTCACCCTGATAAAGGGCCGGGGGGGGGTGCAGCCGGGGGTCCCTTTAGTGCATTCAGGACCCCCCGGTTGTAGGCATCCCTCGGGGCGGCTGTGTGGGACCCCCCCTTGAACCCCTCTGAAACCCCCACCCCCTGGACAGGGATCAAGGGTCAAGAGTCAACGGTCAAGGGTCAGGGGTCGAGGCATTAAATGCAATGTAAGCACAACTCCCGTGTCTCCGCGTCGTCACTCGCATCAGCCGTGGTCGATCCACTGCTGGATGAAGGCCTCACTACACCACCCCCCCCCCCCATCTCACTACACCACCCCCCCCCCCCCATCTCACTCGCTGTCCCGCCATGCAGCGACGATCCACGCACACCCAGCAGCGGCTGCCGTGCTGCTCACCACGAGCCGGTGGCACCACTCCATCTCCCTTGGGGGACGTCCTGTCGGACGCGGGGAGAACGGATAAACAATGCGGTTCAGTGCATCGGCCAATTGGCTTCCACCACGATACCATCGTCACCATCATCGTTGCCATCGTCGTTGCCAAGGTCACCATCGTCACCATCATCACCATCGTCACCATCACCGCCATCACCATCGTCACCATCACCGCCATCAGCGTCGTCATCATCGTCACCATCATCATTGCCATGGTCCCCATCATCGCCATCATCCAGCAGCATCGGGTCCCAGCAAAGCCGACTCTGGGCCGGTTTTCACCTCTGTGGGTCTCACCGGCAGTCAGGGCCGATTTCACAGACGCCACTGCCGAGCGAAAGAGCTCTGCGTGCAACTGGGGACCCGTGTCGAACCCAGGCCCCGGATCTCACGGGCCCTTGCCTACGAAACAAGCGGGGGAATGAAACGACACTCCTGTTGAGATGCGGCCTGGCGATCACAAATAGATCGCTCAACGAAGTGACCGATATCATCATCAACATCTTTGCGTGGAAACGAAAAACAGCAGCAGCAGCGGCAGCAAAGTGCTCTACACGCGTGACGTTTCGATTTAAAGCTTTCATGCCTGCAGGGATTAATCTTCTTGGTTCTTTCGGTAAAGTCACGTAGAAGGGAATAAAATAATAAAAATAAAACATAATAAAATAATATATAATATTAATTACCGAAAGAACCAAGAACACGCGTGACATTGATTCTAAACATGGAGGGGAGTAGAGGGGTGGGGGGGAAACCGGAGGACCGGGAGAGAGGAAATAAACCCCACGCGACCACCACGGGCTCACCGGGCAGTCCCTCGGCACGGGCTCGAACAAGTGTGCCCCCCCCCCGCCACTGCTGATGAGACCCGGAATGGGCGAAGCCGGTCCACGGCGTTGCGGACGATGAACAAAACGCCGCTTCGACGCTTACGGGCGTGGGGGGAGCCGGGGGGTGAAGCCATCCGGTGGGAGCGGGGGGGGGGGGGAGTTGAACCCGACCCCGTCAAGACGACACGCGGAGTTGCGTTCACATTCCGCCGATACCAACACCATCAACACCATCAACACCACCAACACCATCAACACCATCAACAACACCAACAACACCAACGCCATCAACACCATCAACAACACCAACACCATCAACAACACCATCAACACCAACAACAACACCATCAACAACACCATCAACACCATCAACAACACCAACACAATCAACAACACCAACACACCATGAACACCATCAACACCATCAACAACACCATCAACATCATCAACATGAACATCAACACCATAAACAAAAAGACAAAGACCTCCCCCCCGTGTAGCCTTAGCAAACTGTCGGGGCAAGTGCCGTTAGCGAGCAGCTATGAAGGCCGGCACGGCACACGAGGGGGTGGGTGGCCAGCACCACGCCCGGCCGCCTTTGACTCCCCCAGTGGCGATGTTTTTACGCACCGCACCAGGTACTCATTTAAGGCCGAGTCGACCCAGCGAATCTCACAACCGGTTCAGACAATCGTCACCGGTATTGGCCGTGAGCGGGAACCTAAGCCGGGCCGCGAGCGGTTAGCGCTACGCTGCCGCTCCCCGCCACAACGCAGTAGCCCAGCCGCACGCGACGCCTTTTTGGCGATTAAAGCCGAAATCCACGGCGGGCGTTGTGCGCGCTGCTGCCGACGGCCTTCGTGGGGGTGAAGGACCACAGCGAACTCACAGCGCTCGCTACGGGGCAGGGCAGGCCACATGGTGGCGGTGGTGGCAACGGTGGTGGTGGGGGGGACAGTGATGGTTGTGGCGGTGGGTAGCGGAGATGGCAGTGGGTGTGGCGGTGGTGCTGGGAGTGGCAGTTTTATGCCGAAATTCTCATGAAACTCGGGCAAGTGCTCTAACCGCAGGGCCACCGCTCCCCACATTGTTACAGCAACGAAACCCCCCGTGTGTAGCCCATGCTGGCTGCTAGGACATGCGTGCACAAGAGCTTTTTAGCTCATCGGATTCCTCCGCTATAAATATTCTAAATCCCAAGTGCTGCAGCAGCAGCAACACCCACGAGTGCTGGCACGGCACCTTACGGGGCGAGGCCCACTGATGTGACCAGCACCACACCCGGCGCTGGGCGCTCTACACACCACACCAGGCACCTCCGGTTAGCACAGTTGGCTGCGTACGGTGCGAAAGAAGTCCAATATACATACGTACTCATTTAAGGCCGAGTCGACCTAGGGGATAGCCAGGTCTGGACCATAAAGACAAAAGATCCCGCCGTATAGCCTAAGCAGACCATTGGGGCAAGTGCCGTCAAGCGAGCACCTCTGAAGGCCGGCACGGCACGCGAGGTGGTGGGTGGGTGGCCAGCACCACGCCCGACCGCCTTCGTCTCCCCAGCGGTGATGTTTTTACCCGCCGCACCAAAAACTCACTTCAGGCTGCACCACACACACAGACACAGCGTGGGTTTGTTCGTGATCATGTTTATATATAAGGAGATAGAAAGGATGAAAGGGGGTACATGGGGATGCACGAGGGGCAGGGGTTAGACGAGTTCCTGTTTGAGGTGAACCCCAGGCCTAGGTTTGCTCCGAGACCAGGGCCTGACAAACATACACACACAGGCAAAGATCCCCCATATAGCCTTGGACAAACTGCAGGGGCAAGTAATGTTAGCGAGCACTTATAAAGGCCGGAACGGTACACCAGGGGGTGAGTGGCCATCACCACGCCTGACCACCTTTGTCTCCCCAGTGGCGATGCTTACACACTGCACCAGATACTCATTTGAGGCCGAGTCGACCTATGGGAGGTCGGGACCGGTTCAGATAATCGTCAATCTTATTGGCCGTGAGCGGGAATCGAACTCGGGTCACCAGGTTCGTAGCGCAGCGTAGCGCTAACCGCTATACCACCGCTCACCTACACGCACACACAGTCACATGCACACTCAGACACACACACTCAGACACACACACACTGATGCACGCATTCACCCCCTGTGTCTACATTACTAAGAGAGGTTTAACATCTTAGATTGTCCGAAAATGTGGGGGGTGGGGGGGTGGGGGGGGGTGGTGCACGGGGGGGAAGAGGGGGGCTGTCACGTGTCCTCCTCCCCCTCTGCCCCCTCTCCTCCCTCCACCATCCTCATGATGTCGTCGAGCAACTCCGAGTGGCGCTTCTTTGGTGCGGAAGATCCTACAGTGACACACACAGTGACACACAGTGACACACGGTAACACACAGTGACACACAGTGGCGCACACGGTGACACACGGTGACACACAGTGACACACGGTGACACACGGTGACACACGGTGACACACAGTGACACAGTGACGGTGAGCCACACAGTGACACACAGTGACGCACAGTGACGCACAGTGACACACGGTGACACAGTGACACACAGTGGCGCACACGGTGACACACGGTGATACACAGTGACACACAGTGACACACAGTGACGCACACAGTGACACGGTGACACACGGTGACACACACAGGTGACACACGGTGACTGGTGAGACACACGGTGACACGGTGACGGTGAGACACACGGTGACACACGCAGTGATACCGACCGTGACGCAGAAACTGACACACAGTGACAATGACGGAAACCGAGTGACATACCAAGTGAGACACAGTGACAGAGACACTGATAGTGACACACACGGTGACACAGCAACTCCGATGACCCTGGTAAATGCATGTGACCCCGTGACCCGCGCGCGACCCCGTGACCCGCACGCGACCCCGTGACCCGCACGCGACCCCGTGACCACTGACCTAGCAGTGTCGACTTCCGGCGGGCGGTGTCGAGGTCGTGGTCCGTCCCCTCGGAGGCAAACTCCAGCACGAGGCGGCGTCCGTACAGATGGGTACTGCTGCACAGAGACGCCATCGCCCTCTACGCAGCGTAACACCACCACCAACAACAACAACATCATCATCACCAACACCACCACCAACAACAACATTATCACCAACAACAACAACAACATCATCACCACCACCACCACCAACAACAACATTATCACCAACAACAACAACAACATCACCACCACCACCACCAACAACAACATCACCACCACCACCACCAACATCATCACCACCACCACCACCACCAACAACATCATCATCATCACTACCATCACCACCCTCAACAACATCATCACCACCACCACCACCAACAACATCATCACCATCACCACCATCATCATCATCAACATCACAGAGAGGTCATCACTCTCTACACACGAGTGGTGTCAGTATCATCAACAATATCAGCATTGACATTACCCATAACATGACCATCATCTACATCAATATGATCAACATCACAATCAAAATGTTATTGGAAGGCAACTGCCTCCAACTGCCCAGCAGCGTCCTTCATGAGCCTCTTCCACAGAGGCGGATCTTGACACCGCTAGTACCAGTCAACGGCAAGTCCACTCAGCTCCACATCCACCCATACCGCATCACTCCATCTCTTTTCAAGCCCGTGTCATGCCCATTTAGCCCCCTCTATGCGGTCAAACAGAAGCTGTTGTGGGCATGCGGTGGCTGGGCATGCGGGCTACATGACCCAGCCAACGCAGCCTTGCCTGCCGGAGGAGCTCACCGGTGGGAATGTATCCAGATCTTTCAAGGATTTGTGAGCTCCTCACACAATCCAGCCTGGTTAAACGCAGGATGGATCGTAAGCAGAGCGCTCCAACATCTCTCGCAAGCGAGAGAAGGGAGGTCAATGACTGTGGCCGAGAAGTCCCGGAGCT